TACTTACATCTAGAATCTTGTAATAGGTGGAGTTTTGTTCTAGGTGCTTTCTCGATTGCCCCAGTACAAACTCTATGCTCTGTAATAGCTCTAATCTCTTTAACAATTACAAATTGTAAATGCTTTGTCTGCCGCTGCCTTTAGAGCAGCTTTACAGTTACTCAGATTCCTCTACTTGCCAAACTGTGTTTACACCTCAACTGTTTTTACACTTCATCTTGCTGTCTCCACTATAAATCTAAGAGCAGTGAGCAGTAACCACAGATGGTATGCCACCTTGAAACTGTCTCCCCCAAACAACTCAGTTCATCATTTCTGAATTCACCTTCATTAAGATTTTCAGGACACAGACAGAATACAGAGATCCTTTGCTGAAGTGTGACCTGAATGGCTTCTAGTCTAATTCCTGATAGAGTCCTCACTGAGGGAAGTGTAACAAATTGTGGCAACCCAGTTGGAGCCAGAGTTCACTGTGTTAAACAGAATAAATGTCTGCATTCTCCCACTCCAATGTGCAATATGAACTGGTATATCTCAGAGAAGCTGAGAGGATGGTGGTTACCAGAATTTGGGCTGAATAACAATGGTTGGGTGATCAGTGGAGACCACATTATGTAAGAACAAGAAGTTCTGATGTGCCACTTCACAGTAGAGTAAATATGATGTACTGTATCTTTCAAAATGCTGGAAAATGACTTTGAATGTTTTCACTATGAAAAATAAAAAAGCTTTGATGAGATAGATATTTATTCTTATTGAAATATTGCACAATGTGTATGTGTATTGAAACATCACATAGTACCCAATAGATGTGTAATTTTCAAGCACAAGTATTAGATTAAAGTATTAGATTAAAAATAAATTAAATTTTAATTTAAAAATTTAAAATAACCTAAGAGTCAAAGTCATTGAGGATGACTTTTGTTTGGGAGAGGGTTCTGATACTTACCAGGTAACACTTTGAAAGTAAAATGGTTTCCCAATTTTAGTAGTTATCATGTGAATAAAAACAATAATTTAATATATTATATCTTTTCAGATTTGTATTACCCATATCTGTGGAAAGCATTACACGGATAAGAAAATTATTTCATTTATTATCAAACCAAGAGGAGATTATAATTGTAATTCCCTATCTAGGGATAGCAAGGAAGAAGAATAGTTGAAATAACCAGCTTAAGAAGTACTGAACTGCATGTGGGTAGAAAGAATACTGGCACTCTGTCAATCCAAGTTATTGCTGCAAGTTTATAACCTGGTAGACAGAATATAGACATGATCGAATGTTAAATAAACTAGAATGATTTAAATCTGTAATAGAGTTCTGAGGTTGTTGAGATTTGTTTCGATTCTTCATTTTACTGGCTGCACATTAGAAATTGCTGAACTGATTCAAAACACCACATCTATCACAGACTCATTACTTATATAAAAATGGCAAATCTATATAATCCTCATCTTTCACAAATCTTCTCTGAAAAAAACCTATTTCACCAGCCAAGTATTCTCTGAGAATTTTATAAGAAAGTTAAAGGATGCCTTTGTTTACTTTTCTTTAATATCATCATGAGAATAGTAGAGTCTTATGATCATATAGATTCGGCAAACCTCCTTTATCAGTCATTATAGGTGTTGGGAAGTATTGGAATATATGTATGTGTGTGTATGTATGTATATATAATATGTAGACATATGTATAGACATGTGTACATAAACACACATATATATTCTAACCAAAAGAAAATAGTTGTTGTTGTCTTTAATAGAAAAGGATGATAAAGGAATTTTGTAATTATCTTTAGAACATAAGTAAGTGATTTTTCAGATTTTGATTTTTATGTAGTTAAGACTATCCATAACAACATCTGGCTATTTATATATTTTATGATCTAGAAAATGATAACTTTGATAGTTTGGAAGATGTAACATCAAACCAATGAACATTCTTAAATTAAGTGGTAATTTTGAGAACCGACTGAGGTTAAAGCATCCTGGAGTATGCTTATTGTCTGTAACACAATTCAGCCACTAGGATGATGCTGTGGTATGCGGCATTTGGGCAACAGACTCAAATTTACTAAAGGAAATGAGCTCAGATATTTTTGAAAATTTAGAAAATGAATCTATTACTTCCAAGTATATCTTCTAGGAGCAGTCATAGTCTTAGAATATACAATATATGATTTACATATGTAATTGTGCACATTGAAAAGGCAAGTCAAAGAGGGAATGTGTACCAAAAAAGCTTCACTCACCTAAAATGGAAAAAAGAATAGCATCTGAATTTTCATAAGTTCCCTCATTTGTATGTATTTTTTTCACAGATGTAATAAGGGACTACAAGTTTGCCTTTAACCTTCTCATTATAACTACATATTTCCTGTAGAAAACCATTAGGAAATAAATTACAGATTAAATTCTAAGAGTAGTATAAAAAAAAAACACCACAGTTCTTCAGTTCAGCCACTCTCAACTGAGAGTTCTGCATAAAATGTAAAAGAATGGCTCAAAAAAAGTTTCTAATTCACAAGAAATGGGGGAGTCTTCATCTAATTCCTTATCATTCTAAATGAGAAGTGAAACTTGTTGCTGTTGGATTTTAAGACTGCGCAATGTACCTACAAAAGAGTTTTAACTAGAACTAAGCCCAGAGTACCTTGTATTCACACAGTTAGGAATCTTGCTGAAATAATTCAGTGTTGATTTCATAAGGATAGTGAAATCAGTAAGAAAATAGAAATTGATTTTATGAAGCACCTACTAAGCTCCTGTCTATGGTAATCAACCTTGAGAATCACGGTGAATGAGAATACAAGTCTCTACAGGAAAAAGACAAAGCAAGACAAAGGCCAAGCAGAGCATATCATAGCATACACAATAGCAGTGATGGTGATCTATTGGAAATGTCAGCATGAAGGCTTGCAAGGATATGCAGAGTTTAAATTCTGGAGGGGGGAACATTGTGGGGGTATTGCAGAGAGGAGCAAGTTGAGAAATAACTGTGACTGATGAATAGCAAAATGGAACAAGAGAAAGTAGTAGATGGCTGGTCGAACAAGGATGACAGTGTTGGTTAGAAAAATGTCCTTCACTGGAGTTAATGGTCAGGCAGACTAGACTTAGAGATATATGATCCACACATCTCTTCTGAGATGCAGCTATACCATAAAAGTTCAATAATCCAAAGCACCAGATGTGATGCCTAATACTGCCCCTTACTGGCTTTTGGTTCAAGAAACATACTTTACTTTTCTATCCCTCAATTTCTTTATCTCTGTCATAGGGATGTAGCAATACAAGGAAGTGTTTATAAGCTCTTTGATTCTAACAAAACTCAAATTATATACTTTAAAATGAATGCTTGACAGCAGTGGTCAGGAACTATTACAGAGGTATGAAAAATGCAGAGGGAGCATAATTCAGGTACCCATAGCAGTAACTCAACATTCTTCCTTAGTATTCATAACGTGAATATTTGCTTAGAATTTGGAGTTGAGATACAAAAATAGCTTTTGATTTTTCTCCACTTTCCTAAGTGTTGGCATTAGCTTGCTACCTCGTGGCTCTCTGAAACCAATGGACAAATAAAGGGCAGAGTGACAAGGTTTCAGGCTTCAAACCAGGTCTTCTTGATCCCTGTCCATGAGAGTGCTGACAGATCATCTCACCTCTGGAATTGCCGATAAAGTTCTTTGTTCATATGGATAAGATTAATAGCTTTAAGGGTCATTACAGAACATGAGTTAATATTCTCTCCAAATGGAAAATTTCCTAGGTTTGAATTCTATGCATGATAAATTGGGAGTTTTATTGCACCTTTTGACCTTTAGCTCATCTTTCTTTAAAATATACATTCAAATGTAAAATCTAGCATTTGCATACATTGAAGCAATTTATGATGGCTACCCTTTCTAACCTGCAAGGTTTTGAGTTCAGGAAAAAAGACTTGAATTACGAGTCCAACATTTTCATCCTTGGCATTGGCATAGGTTCTTTCCAGATCAATTTTTTGTGTCCTCAAAATGTGCCATTCAGATTGAATCATCAAGAATTATAATCAGAAATAAAAAAATGTAGAAAGAAAAAGTAAGCATTGATAGATTCCTATTTCAGGTAAATATCATTTTCCACTCAATTGAAATTTTATCTTTTAAGCCTGTGCAAGGGGAGAGAGCAAATACATTCCTTTCTTTGAAACAAATCAAAGTTATTTATGTCAAATATTCTACCTAATAGAGATGTATTGGGAACTGTAACAACTGGTGTGATAAAAGGAGAAGTAAATGATGCTCCGTTTCTGATCTTTGCTTCTGCACTAGACTACAAGTCAGAGTTATCTGTTTTTCATGCATTACCATCAGCTCTCTGCTGATCAAATCTGTATCCAATAAAGAGATGACCAGGCATGGGTGTGTGATATTCATCAATCTGCTGAAAATTATTCTGCTTGAAATCCCTTAAAAGCAGTCTATGTCTGATCTTTTATAAGTAATCAAAGAGGATTTATGAACTTCTCCTTTCTGCTTTGATTTAGAAATAATTTCAGATCTGCCCACTCTAAGTAAGGGGAAAAGTGCTACAACATCATGGAAGCCATGCCACAACTGTAAAAACAGAAGCGGTGTCTGCTTAAATGATGACTTCAGTGTCCTGGTTGTCATTTATGGAAAAACTAGAGGGCAAAAAAAAAAAAAAACAAAAAAAACAAAAAAAACCCCACAACCCTCTATACAAACAATCACAAGACATTTGTAAAAACATGTTTAATTCCTTTGTAACTCAGATTGTAATCCTTGCCTTTTGTGAACTCAAAAAGAAATAATGCTATAGAGAAAAAAAAAAGGAGATTCACATATGAGAACACTTTCATAAAAGAGGTTGGAAAGTGAAGTTCACCTTTTAAAAATACAAAGAAGTTAGCTATGGCAGCTAGAAATCTCTACCTGCCGCACATCTCTCTGTAATTGCTCTAACAATGTGTGTTCTTGGCTCTCTTTTAGGCCGACCAGTAATGATCGTGGTAGAGTACATGGAGAATGGATCCCTCGACTCCTTTTTGCGGGTAAGGTGCTCTTTCCTGGTGCCATTTAAATAAGCTATTCAGAGATCCATACTTGAAATCATTCATCATGAGTTAATTTCTATATAATGTTATGTATGGGTTTTCCGTGGAGAAGGCAGCATTTTCTCTGAGTGCAATTCTCTGGTTCTATGATGCACTAAAGCATTACTGAGGGGACAGGATGCATACATAATAATAATAATATAATTGATTTCTCCTATAAATTTATTTGCCATATTAATGATATATATATATATACACTAAATGATTCTTCTATCAATTAAAAAGTAAAAATAAAATTCAGTTGCCACTTATAGCTGTTCATGAAGCCGTATTTACCAATTTAGTGTGACATTTTACGCATTTTCTAAAGTACTGAGCCTACATTGCTGTCCCAAATTCTGCCAATTTTGTCCCTCATGTTCATTCAGCTGTTTAAAGAGGAAAAGAACAAATAAGATTCCTTTAGCAGTGATATCTTTTAGAATAAAAATCGAAAACTCATTCTGTTTAAGATGACTTCACATGAATATATAGTGGAACAAACTAAAGCTAGCAAAGTCTCAACATCATTTTTCAAAGGGTATTCATCACGTGTTAAGTTTTAAAGCACCACAATATGCTTGGAAAACACACATGGATAGTGAAAAAGAAATGAAATATAAAAATATGTAATATAAGTAGATGTTTCTATCCCCAGGAGAGGTGATGTATTTGCATGCTGGTGAACTCTTTAACAAATCCAACCAAAGGCATAACTAGTATCTGTGCTTATGAAATGGCTGAGTTTTTTTCCATTTAGAATGTGTTGTCTTTCTTTGTATTGCCACCTCATTTTCTGTCCCGTGCTATTTAGATATTTTCCATTTGCATCTGTCTGTCTCCCGTGTTCTCATTTCCACTTATTTTGCCTGATTGCTGTCCTCTCTAACTGCTCTCAATGTTGGTGGGGATGATGTCTCGGTCTTGTGACTTAGCTTGATGTCCAGATTCAATCCCTGAAGCTGAATTCAGCATCATCTTCAGACTGTAATAAATAGAAACTACATCCACAGCACACACTCTTGACCAAGCATGCTCTTTAAGGCAACATTCATAGGTTGAGGACATGAGCTGTTTGTTCTCTGTTGTGACCATTTCAGAATATTCTACCTGTAAATGTTCTAAATTATTTTAGAATAAAATCAGGGACACGTATGGGGCATGAAATACATGTACACTTATGTCTTTTCATTATTTTTGTTCAAACATATTTTTATCAGATATATATCAAAATGATTCATTATCTAGTAATGTTTGGCATAGGTTGGTTTTACATTTTTTATAACAACTACCCAAAGCAAACTGTAACAGCAAATAATGTAGCAGACATTCAATTTAAATTACTGCTAAAAACTGGACCAAATGGATGGTAAAGAAAATTAGGTGGAAAATGTTAGTTTCAGATAAACTTTTATTCTACTCAACAAGGAATACGTTACAATATGTGTGGGATCCCACAGAAGCTCCCTAGTAAGATCTTATTTAAGGTCAGAAAGTCTGAGCTTGCTTTACCTAGCAGGGCTGCATAATAGGATGATTTGGCCAAGGACATTGTTGCCAGGTATTTCAAAGTATCTACACTTGTTGGTACTTTATACCTTGACATTGGACGGGAGAGGTCTTTTGCCCCTCCCCTTGCTGATGTATTAAAGGCCCATTGTGAATAAAGTCCAGGAAACTGGGTATCAACCCAGGGACCTCCCGAAGCTTTCCTGTGTCTCTGTTTTTCTCACCATCTCTGTCTATATTTCTATATAATACTTCCTTATTCCTCACTCCTCCCCCCAAGAACCCTTCAACAGGTCAGAGCTGGTCTTCAGCCAATATGTACAAAGAATCAATAATTAAAAGATGTGACATCCTATATCACATGCTTATAAATGATGTATTTCCTGAGTTAAATTTTCAAAACTAGCATTTTTTCAGCTCTAAGTATGCACTGTATAGGTAACTGACAGTCTAGAAAGAAGCAAAGCTTTAATTGTTGTTGGCTACCATTAATACTACTATGAAAATTTGGATGTCTATGTCTGTTAATCCTGGCTCTGCCTCATATTAGCTGTGGGTCCTTAGACATGATAGTACCTTTCCTGGGTCTCTTCTAGTCCATGTGTATAACAGCACAGTGAAAAGTACCTTCCTCCTACAGTTGTTAAAAGAACTTTATTGACTTGTGTAAAGTTTACAAGAAAAGGTCCACATGGAAGTCTTCATGACTCCAGAAGTGATGCTTTTCTCGGCTGTGAATTCTCTTCATTGAGTTGATATGTGATTCTCCTTGTAAGGCACTGTCAACTCTGCATGTGGTGGGCATTGCCTCTGCATATGCATGCTTCATTAGTAAAAATTATAACATTGAAGTATACAAAGAAGTCTAAAAGATTTAGAAATCAAATAACCTGTTTGATAAAGGGGCTAATGAAGTGAAGAGATGGTTCTCAAATGTTGAATATCAAATGGCTAGTAAACATATTATCCCTAGCCATTGAAGAAATGCAAAAAAACACTACCTTAAGTTTTCTACATAGATTTATTTCAATTAGGTAGGTAATCTTCAAACACGTCAAAGACTTACAGAATATGGCATTTAAAATGTTTTAAGAACTTAGACTTTTTTGTACGTTGAGACATGTCTGCTTCTGGTAGCACCAATGTACTTCAGAGAAGATGATGGGCATCAAAAAAAATCCATATGGAGTTTGCTTTCCTTATAGCAAAAGTCAGCCATTTGGGCAAGAAACTGTTCTTGCCTGGACAGCTTGATAAAATGTTGTATCGACTGGGCATGCAAGACCCATGGAAAAATGACCACTAAATCTTGCCAAAACAAGGTGAGATGGTCCTTCAGGTTCCTACTTTGCAGAGGAGACTGCCAGATATTCTGCAGGACACAGGGAGAAGCATCTCAGAGACTCTAGGCCTATAGGCTGAAGAAGGATGCCCCAATGTTACAGAGGAACTTTGGGTGACTGTCCAGGCAACCAGCTGTTTCTGCCATTTCCAGAATTTTGGAAGTTGCTTACAAAGCTTTACTTAGGTAATATTATATCCTTCTGGAGTGTTTGATGTAGTTGAAGACTAAATAGTTATAGTTATAATTCTCCTTGGTTATGATAAAAAAAATTATACATGAAACTTTAGACTCACAAATGTAGGCTCAATGGTAAAATATTTTCTTTAATTTTTCCAAATACAAATAGATTAGATACTGTAACTGTAATTCTTGCTTGATAACTGTTTGTTATATGTAATTTTACTATATTAAAGTTAAAACGATCCTTTTTGATTAGACAGAAAAGGGGAAGTGCTGTGGAATGTCTTTCTGTATGCTGTGAACATGTCATTCTGATTGGTTGATAATTAAAGCTGTTTTGACCTATGGCAAGGCAGCTTAGAGGCAGGTGGAAAATGCAGAGAGAGAGACAGAAAGAAGAAAGGAGAGGTGAAGAGAAACTAGCCAGCACCAAAGGAAAAGCAAGATGCCACCAGACTGGTAAAGCCATGGCCATGGGGTAAAATATAGATTAATAGAAATGGGTTAAGTTATTATAAGAGCTAGCTAGCAAGAAGCCTGCCTTAGGCCATGCAATTAGTAATTAAAAAAGAAAAAAGGATTATAAGGTAGCCTTCAAATTTTTTTTAAAAAAATTGTTTATATGTTTGTTTTGCTTGCATGTATGTCTGTGCAGCATTTGTATAACTGGTACCTGGGTAAGCCAAAAGAGGGCACAGGATTCTCTAGAAGAAGAGTTACTGGGAGTTGTGAACAGTAGTGCTGGGAATCAAACCCAGGTTCTCTGTAAGAGCAGTCATTGCTCTTAACCATTGAGCCATGCCTTTGGCTCCTAAATTTTATATGAATCAAATATTAAAATGCAAGCAATAATATGATGGCCTTTTAAAACTCATCTCTGTCACAAACATTAATGAATACAATCCTATCTAGTACAGGTTAGGTAGTGGTGATCCAAACGTGACTGAGACCATTCCTTGGATAGATGTGTGGAGAGTACCTCACTCTGTTTAAAAATCACCAGAATATCTCCATGTAACCTGGAAATGAATCTTCCAATGAATCAATAACCACAGAAGTCATACCTGGTTTCATTAGTAACAGTATTCGTTAAATAAAGGATATTCAAATTTAAAAAAAAAAGATTTCATCTCACCCCAGTCATAATGGCATTCATAAAGAAGACAAATAGCAAATGATAGAAAGGATGTGGACAGAAGGGAGCCCCTTATACACTGCTAGTAAGAACATAAACTCATCCAGCCACCATGGAAATCAATATGAACTTAATCAAAAACCTGAAAATAGAACCATCATAACCCCACTCTACCCACTGTGTATTTATCTGAAGGACTCCAACTCAGTACATCATGTAGATATTTGCACATCAGTGCTTATTGCAGCGCTGTTCAAAATAGTTCAGCCATAGAACTAACTGATGTGTCTGTCAACAAAGCAACAGCTAAAATGTGGGGTGCATAGCCAGTGAAGCTTTTCCGGTTACAGACAAGAATAAAGTATACCGTTTGCAGAAAACTGGATACAACTTAAGATAGTCACATTAAACTAATTGTCATCTCAGAATGGCAACTATCACATTTTTCTCTCATATAGTGTCTTAGTCACTGTTCCATTGCTATGAAGAAACACCATGACCAAGGCAACTATTATAAGAAAAAACATTTAATTGGTGACTTGTTTACAGTTTCAGAGATTTTTTTATTTTTTATTTTATAATTTAATTTAATTTTACATATCAGCCATGGATTCCCTTGTTCTCCCCCCTCCCGCCACCTTCCCCTGCATTCCCCCCAGCCCACACCCCATTCGCATCTCCTCCAGGGCAAAGACTCCCCTGGGGATTCAGCTCAACCTGGTAGATTCAGTCCAGGCAGGTCCAGTCCCCTCCTCTCAGACTGAGCAAAGTGTCCCTGCATAGGCCCCA